ATTTTGGTTTATTAATTAGTTTGTAAACTTTAGGAATTATTGGTTTAGTTCCTTAAACTTCTAGTCTCTTAGAACTCGGTATTTTAGATCTTTGACCCTTTAGTCCTTGGACTTCAATTAGACCTTTAAGATTAACATAATCAAATAGGTTAAATAGAGTCTCCACTTTTAGCTAGATTTCAATATAGTCATCTTGATTTAGGGAATAATTTGAGTCAGCCCTCGCCTAAATGCTCAAGGGATCATCTTGATTATTCGATTCGATAATTGGTTTAAAAATCAAATAGGGTTAATATTAGAACCTACATTTCTAGGTTTGTGCCTTTAGATTCTTTAATTCTCATAATTTGACACTTTATGATATAGAGAGACTTATTTTACCCTTAGCTTAATCAGGATGAATAAAAATTTGTTTAGTTGCATTTTATTTTTAAAAGGCAATGTTCATTTATTAGGGAATTAATAGTATATCTCCCGCAAGTATGCTCAGGGGGTTACTACTGGTGATTCCCGAAATAAGTCGATATCCTTTTCAAAACTGTGTCATGATTTCTAAAATATCGAGCCAATACTCAGTTATTGGTCACAATAACTCTATAGGCATTAATAAACGAATATCATTTTCAGCTTTGCATCCATAATGATTTTTAAATTAAATAAATTTGAACTCAAAATTTCCAATTCTAAATATAGGGTAATCAATTAGGTACCAATTTTTGGGCACTTGTGGGGGTGTTAATCTTTCCTCATGCGTAATTGACTCTCGAACCTGATTTCTGGATTTTCGGAAACCTTAAAACTTGGTAATTTGATAAAAAAATAATTGTTTTATTAAAATCACCCGGTTTTTATGGTGTCCCAATCGCACCTTAAATGATTGGTGACGACTCCTCACATTTCAAAATTCTTTTCAAAGAAAAACCCACAAAGTTAATAATAATCTTTCCCTGCCCCGACGAAAAACGGTGTCGACATATACAAAACTACTGACTTTTACTTTGTTCATAAACGACACCTCTTTCTTTCTGATGCTCACACCAATATGTATAATGATTTTATTTTTTATAATCGATTAACTGAACGATTCTTTTGCAAATCTTTTATAATCTTACTGGTAATTAGGTGACATGTTGCATTATAACCAAGTGACAAAAAAAAAAAAAGAACTTCGTTTGAACTATTAATGTTGACCTCACGAAACACGGTGTTGAATTTTCACATATTGTCCCTATTGTGATTTTTTTGAATGAGCAATTTATGATCTATTGAATGTTTTAATTACTAATAAAATTGACGGTCGTCTGATCTGGATGTTAACATATTAATTGTGATATAATAGTATTTTGAGATTCTAGGATCATGTTTTATCATATCTCAATTAACATGTTAACATCTAGATTTGACTATAATCACTCTTTTAACATAAAATAATAGAATTTGAAATATATGAATAGTCGGATAACTATTTTATAATTTTTAATAGTCAAGGGGTTTGACAAAATAACGCTCTATAATCAGATGATTATTTTATAACTTTTAATTGTTAAAAGACTCAACAATTGTGTATTTTACCCTTTAATTTATCATAATTTGATATTCATTTTTTATGAAAATTTAAAATTAAGGATATGTTTAGTTCAAGAAAATATAGGCTATTTTCATTTTTATTTTCTTAGAAAAAAGAAAACATTGAAGAAAACGTGTTTGGCGGTAAAATTAAAAAATGATTTCTAAAAAATAAAAATAAAAAAGTGAAAATATGAAAATATGAAAACATAAAAAATATGTTTTCAGTATTTTCATTAAAACTGTTTTGGAAATTTAAAAAATATAAAAATAAAAAATTTATATTTTAAACTTAACTTATGCATGTTCAAATTCTTCTAACAATAATTTTTTGATTTAATGGTATCTAAAACCTTCAAACTTTAAAAAAAATCAATATGGTATTTAAATTGTTTTTACACTCAATGTGGTGCTTAACTACTTTTTTAATAATTTAATTTTTTAGCATTTTTATATTTAATATATTTAATATCTTAATAATTATTTGTATTTTAAATTTAAATAATACCTTAATTTTTTTAATTTAAATAAGACCTTACACTTTATAAAATATTAATTAATCCCTCAAACTTAGTAAAAAATCAATTAAACTCATTTACCACATCATTATCCATCGTGTACTGCCACAACAACATAATGAACTGTCACATTAGCATTGTAGATTATCATGTAAACTTTGTGAACTGTCATGTAATCGTCTTGACAGTTTGATTCAGTTGATCAAAAAATTAAATAGATTTTTTGTGTTATGAAATTTCTTATCAATTTTATTATTTTTGCATAACTCACATGTTAAACTTATGAAATTAAAGTTCTTAATAATTATATTTAATTTAATTATTTAATAATTATTTTTTTCATTTCTATTTAAAAATTTTGATACCAAATATAATTTTACAGTTTTCATTTATATTAACCAAACATATTTTCTAATTTCCAAAACACTGAAAATGAAAACTATTTTCTAAAAATAAAAACAAAAATTGGGGGTTTCAATACGACATATATGTATTTATAAATTGTTTTACATGTTTTAAAATATAATTTATATTAGATCTAAACTAATTGATCAGTAAATAAAAAGATTTAATTCATATCATATCGCTCTTTTGGTGACTTGATTAAAATTTATAAAGTTTTAAGAACAAATTTCAATATGGACAACAATAAGGGCGCATATGATAAAATTAACCCAAAACTAATTTCAGATTTAATTCATCCGTTCATTTATTTACTTTTATTATTAATTTATGGCGCTTAAAAGTGATAATATATGGTCTATAGGCTCTCAATAATTTGGTAATATACGCTCAAATGCTCTATAATATATAATACTCGAATCTAGAATATCTAAAAATAATAAGCATTCGTTTAACTATTAAAATAACTTAATTCGTGCACCTATTCGTTTAATTATATTTTAAGTTTATAAAATTGATATATTAATTTATTTTGTTTGGGTTAACGAAGTTAAAAAAAATGTCCTACTTGGATGTGTGCCCACCTTGACCTTGACTTGTAAGATTTGTTTTATTACAAGCAGCCTAACTTCAACATCGAACGTTCCAAAATCAATTGACCTCGTCAAGCTGTTTTCTTGATTATGTTTACAACCCCATCACTTCTTCCAGATTAGCTCCAACCTTATCCAATAATTCTATCATAATAAAAAAGTATCATTAATTTTTTGGGATAATTCTAATCTGCCCTTACATTGTTTAATAATTGCTTCACTGTCGTCACTTCAAACATCTTCTAGAAAGATAATTGTTTTTTTTTTTAAAGAAGAAGAAGATAATTCATAGTTTTCAAACATCGTCTAGAAGAGTGATGGGAATACAATTCATAGTTTCCAAACAACAAATTATTAGAATATAAATATTTAAGAAAAATAATATACAAGCTGCTAATGAAAAAAAATGGTGTGGAAAGTTCTTTTAAAAATAATCCAGTATTATCATTAATTTTTCAACGATCAGTGATTGAAATAGAAAAATACATGATGTTAATGAATATTTGTAAAAGAAAATAATTCGATGACCAAAATGAAAATAAATAATAAGTTGTGGACTAATAGTATAATTTATCCTAAATTTTACAAATTTGACTTTTTTATCAATTAAGTTAAATGTACCTGGCCCACTCAAGTCATTTCTTATCTATATAAAACATATATATAAATAAAGATATGTATTAATAGTATATTAATTAATTTATAATTTAATTTGTTTTAAATTAATCACTGATATCTTATCTATTGATCGATTAATTCAGATCGAGTACTGCACAGGTGAAAGTGACATTTCCAACCCAGTTTACTCCATTCGCAAATGTCAAGATTTGAACTATGATCTTACTTAAGAGACCTAGTACATCATTCTACTAAACTAAATGGTCGGTGATTTTCGGCTATTAATAGGAAATTAACTAATTATTATAATATAAATATTTAAGAAGCGTCCATTCAATATAAAAGATGAAATATACAAAAGTAATGCAGACAACTGCTTTTTTACGATTTACATTATAAACTTGAAAAAAATATATTTCTCCACATGAGTGGATTGACTTTTGAAAAGTCTATTTCTAGAACTCTACTTAGTAAAAAGGGGGAAGAAATACACTTGTTGCTCAAGGCAAGTACCCCATCACATCCTTACCATGTATAATGAACTAATTTTTATTGATTTAATAATATCTTTGCACATGCATCATGCCAACTTTTACTTTTTCCACATCATCATTATTTAATTAATTTTCCAAATTATTTTTTTGTTAATGATATATTTTCTAGATTCATTAGAATTGAAAAATCTCTGCCCGAAGGAGCAGCATTTATATTTTTACCATAATAACACTAATAGCCTTATGCCACGTGTTAATTGTCTATCAACCACCTACTTATCATCTAAAAACATTAGTTTATTGAAATTATTAACACAAAAAATCCTAATTTAAATATACTTAATCGCATATTATGTTTTGATTTATAAATAAAAAAGATATGATTTTTAATGAAAATAATATAAAAAGGTAATTTTCTCAAAAGGGAAAAAGTAATTATTTTACTTAATATTAAATATTTCCGCGTTTCGTAATTAACATTATTATTTTTAATTAATTAGAAATGATCATCCAGCTAAGTTGGTAGAGCACAAAGTTTTTAATATTGAGGTCGTGAGATCGAGTCCCATGAAAGACATTTCATAATTTGAAAGTCTCATACGGAAGCTGCTTTCAACTTAGTGTTGAGAGCAACCTACTATCTTACCTCCCCTTATCTAATTACATATGAAACAAAGAACAATCATTTTTAATTAATTAAAAAATACGTGGGAAGTTTGGACCCTACAACAACCATCACCTCTGTTTAAAACCCGACAAACTCAAACTGACTTCTTAAATTTATTTGCTCCTTTATGTACTTATCTGCCGCAATACCATACATAATCTAAGGCTTTCGTTCTTGAGGTTTTTCTTCTTTTATGTTTTACGATGCAAGTCATGAGTTCTTCACCGTCGTTGTCTCCCGCCTTTAATAACTTCTCTGGCGCCGGAAAGTTCAGTTACGAATTCGGACTTAAACTGCGGCTCAAGGACGAAGAGCCTGACAAGGAGGAAGAAGAAGAAGAAGAAGAAGAAGAAGAAGAAGAGAAATTGAACAGTCAGCCAGAATTTAAAGATGAAGATGAAAAGGAGGAAAAGCAAAGCCAAGAGGAAGAGTTTTCATTTGTTTGTTTAAGTCCTGATGGATCCCCGATTTCTGCGGACGATTTGTTCCAAGACGGTCAGATCCGTCCCATTTTTCCGTTATTCAACCAAGATCTCCTCTTCCCCGACGAACACGGCACCGTTATGAGGACCGAAGAGGGTGACGTCGCTCTACCGCCTCAGGTGAGAAAGGTTTTCGTGGAAGATTCAACGGACACGACGTCATCGGAGCCGGCGGGACCGTACTGCGAGTGGAGAGGTGCAAAAACCGTGGAGGAAGCCTCGCCGAACACGTGTAGAAAGAGTAATTCCACGGGATTCTCCAAGCTTTGGAGGTTCAGAGATTTGAAGCTTCGATGTAATAGCGACGGCAAAACCGCGTTCGTCTTCTTAAGCCATCCTCCGCCATCTTCTTCTTCTTCATCGTCGTCGGTAAAAATCGAGAAGAAAAACGAAAAACAAGAAAAGAAAACAACATTGAGAGCAATCTTAGAGAAACCAAAAGTGAAGAAGACAGAGAAGAGTAATAAAACGGCGTCGCCTTCAGCTCACGAAAAGCTTTATGTTAAAAACAGAGCACAAAAGGATTACCGGCGGTCGTATTTGCCGTATAAGCAGGTCGGATTTTTCACAAACGTCAGCGGCTTGAGCAGAAATGTTCATCCATATTAGGTTTCTACTAAAAATTAAAATTAAAATAATTTTAATTTTATTAGTATTTTTTGTTGTTGCAAATATTGGGAGTACAGTATTTTATATTATTGTAATTCGTTTATATATTATATAAACATAACTTATTGGAGCAGCCCAACACTGGGTTATGATAATTTATTATCCGTCTTTTATTTAAATTTTTATGACATGGTTCACAACTTTTTATATATGTTTTATGATTCAAATCACTTACAGATTTTTTTAAGTATTATAATCATAATTATAATAATTAAAATTACACAATTTTTCAAATAAATAACTAACTACGCATGATTTTGTGAAGAGATTTGATTTCGATATTTCAAAATAGTATAAGTCTTTGATACATTACATTAATCAAGTTTAAAATCTGGTTGACAATTAAGTTTAGAATTTAATCAAATTATTTTACATTCCTTTTTGGTACAAGGTCTAATTTTGAAGGGAAAAAAAATTAGATACACGCGTGGGTTTGTAATAATCTTTTTTTGAACTCAAAAGCCGGTTGTCATATTATTAAATAAAACCTGAAGAAAGGGGGTGCTAAACAGCTAGCAGCAACCGTGACTGAATCTGGGGCTTCGTCGACCCTGAAGCGATCCTCACTCCCAGCTGACAAGTCTTTCGCAAGAAGGTGAGCCGCCGTATTCCCTGATCTTGCTACAAACTGAAAAGTTGCAACATGCAAGGTTGAAGCTAAACGATTTCCATCTGAAACCCAGGTTCGCACCTCCGAACATTCACAAATATCACTCCCCAGCTTCAAAGGACCAAAGACCCCCTGTACTTCAAAAAAAAAAAAAACAATGTGAAATTTGTGTTATATTTATCGGAATGTAACCATCTAAATAAAAAAATAAACTCAATGTAATTTTTTAATCAAAGTTTTTCGTCGTTGATTGTTATATTACTGGCGTGATAGTTTATAATGTTAACATAACAGTTTATAATATTGACATAACAATCTATGATAACTGATGATATGGTAGACGATATGACAAATGAGATAAATTAGTTTATTAGTTTTGTTGGAGGATCAAGTTGATTTTTTTTAGTACAACGACCTATTTAATTTTTTTATTAAATTATAGGTAAAATTTTATTCAATTATTCAAAAAATAAATATAAAAAATACTAAAAAAATAAATTACTAAAAATTGAATATATTTATTAAAATTATTATAATTTTTTTAAAAAATAATATATATATATAATATGTTATAAAATAATTACTTATAAATTATTAAAAAATTAAAAAATATTTAAAAAAATATATATTATGTATAATATATATACATGTAACATATATGCATATCATCAACAATTATACAAAGTATTCTTACTAGATTAATCAAGAATTACAAAATTTAAATTAGTTGAGGCTTATAATTTTTAAATTAGTCCAAATTTATTATGTTTTCCAATTATCTTTTTGTACGTCTCATATAATTTAAAAGACAATTATATAATAAGGTTCGACAAAAGTTATAATTAGAAAATACAATAAGTTTCGATTAATCCAAAACTTGTAAGTATCTATTAATTTAAATTTTCTAAGTCTCGATTAATTCAGTAAGAATATTTTGTATAAGTGTTGATGATATGCCTATATATTACATGTATGTATTGTGTATAATACATCTTTTTATATTTTTAATAATTTATAAGTTATCATTTTATAATTTACGATATATATTACAAATATATTTTTTATAATACGTTTAGTATTTTTAATATGTATATTCAATTTTTTAGTAATTTTATTTTATTTTTAGTAATTTTATAATTATTTTTTGAATATTTAAATTTTAAAATAACTTTTACTTTTTTAAAAAATAAATAAGTCTTTGAACTTAAAAAAACCTAATTTCATATTCGAACAAAAAAAATCAATTTAGTCCATATGTCATATCATCTACCACGTCATCAGCTATCGTGAACTGTCAAATTATGTTGGGCTCGAAATGATCAACCGAAAACCGCCAAGAGGGGGTGAATTGACCTTTAAAAATCTTTGGTGTGAAAGCAATAAAAGATAATACTAAGATGCAATATTTATATTGATTCAACTTTCTCAACTAAAGTTTACATCTACTACCTTAACTCCACAATAAGGATTTCAACAAATTCACTAATTTGTTCTTTCTTTTTCTAGGCTCAAGAGTAACATTTACAATTATCTAGTTTTTCAAGGTTAAACTATAATCATTTCCCTTTTACAAAGGATAAAAAATGTAAACAAAAAATCTCACAAGGTAGGTGTTTACAAATATTTAAGCTAACAATAATAAAAACAAAAGATATCCAATTAAGATCTATACACTTATGTACATGAGAAAAATGAAGGAAATATTAAGCTTGGATAGGTGTAGTCACATTCTTCAAGTGTCCTTGGAGTGTTTTATTGTGTGAAATGAGTTGCTAGCCGTTTATGACCGTTGGGGATGAGTTATAGCCATTGGAAAACTTTAAAAACATATAATACAAGCCACCTGCACATGCAGTTTCGAAACTTTCATCAAAGTTTCGAAACTCTTACTTGAAAATATGACCGTTGAAGAAAATCGGATCGTTAAAACAGTTTCTATGTGCAAAGTTTCCAAACTATAAATAGTACCCGTGTATGAACAGTGTCAAATAGTGACTTAATAATGTTTTTCGTATTTAAAAAGATTTAAACACATTTTAAATCCTTTAAACATATTTTAATTAACTTAAAAATATTTCATATATATATAAAGCAATTAATAATACATGTTTTTCAAGTTATTTTGGACTTTGAATTATTTTTGAAATATTTGACTAAGTCCAAAATCAATTATTCAATATTTGTTATATCAAAATATAAGTTAAATACATTAGCATCATGAACTACCGCGTCAACATTGTAAATTAACACATCATAACCATAACGGTCAATGACAAAAATTTGATAAACCATATTAGATTTGTTTATGATTTGGAAGGTTACATTAGTTTTTTTTTAAAAGTGCGGAGGACTCTTTTACGTTTTTGCTATTTTTTTTTATAAATTTTCATTTAACAATTTAAATATAGATTAATTTGATTAAATCAAATAAAATTATAAAAAGTTAAAACTCTCTTATTAAATATTTAATATTGACACAATTAAATTATCTCATTACGAAATTTTAATTTGTAATCATATTTAATTGAAGAAAATATAAAGGCCACAGAATAAGTTCTTGTCGGCATCTATCAAGTAATGATTTTCACATATTTGAATTGTTTTTTTTTTTTCATTTTATGAAAATTGCATCCACACAACATTTCTGTAGATTTTGTTATCAAACTTCAAACCAAACATGACCATTGCACCAGGCAACTAGGCCAACATAACAAAGTATACAGTCTTCTTATGCATATCTTCTGAATCATGAATTCCATACTTCTCAAAACAATTCAAATATGTGAAAATCATTACTTGATAGATGCCGACAAGAACTTATTCTGTGGCCTTTATATTTTCTTCAATTAAATATACATGATACTGAGAAACAAACAAGCAATTTTCTCCGTGTCGAATTCATATGACAACATTAGAATTGGGATGTTCAAGTAATGCCTCGGTGAAATATGACAACATTACGGATTTCAAGCAGTATATGAGCCTTGTCGATTTACCATCCGACTGGGGAAGTTTTTGGGGTAATCTCCGTGTACGAATGACGACTTTGACAGATTGCTATCAAGTCCTGATTATTTCAAAGAGGCAAGAAAAAAAAATCAAGACAAATTCAAAACATTGTTACATTGCCTAAGAGGAGAACATATGAGACAGCATGAATGGTAATCGAGCATTTACAACTTGTTTGCGATGATGAAGCAAAAGGAAATGATTGAGAGTCATGTAAACAAAGAATATATATTTGCATAATTAAACAATGCAGCCTACCATTCTGTGATGTACGCTGACCGTACTGATCCGTGTTTTTGTAGGAAGCATACCTAGCACTCTCCAGTCTCTGTACCTTTGTACTCATTGACCTCAGTTCTGCTATATGGATGCCTAAACGTCTTAACAGAACATCGAAGTGTCTCCCCTCTAGCAAAGGATAAAATCAGTGCCATTAACTGTTAGAGATTAACAGCTTAAAAGTAGAAACGTGACATTAAAGGGGCGTGGGAGATGATAAGAGACTCTTGCAAATATATAAATCGAGCATGTTATGTAAGTTGCTACAAGAACATGGCCGAAACATCCTTTGGATAAAACTCACCTTCTTC